AAATTCTCATATTTGGATAATAATCGAACTAATGATTTCAGCTAGCTTGTAAAATTTTGTAAAGTTTGATAAGTTTTTGAATTTTCGGAGACATGAAAGAAGAGATAAGAAAAAAGACACACACATAATTTTGTCTTTTATTTTATTCTGTCGCAGGACGCAAAACGAATAAAGCATATCGTATATCCTTTAATAACTAATTATTATTTCGACCTTCCGCTGGAGGGGGTAAATAATCGAGGGAGGGTAATTATATGAGGTTTGAAATTTGATGGGGTTAATTATTGTTTCAATCTATCGATCGATGGAGTAATTAATGGAAGTGGGGTAATTATTTGATGGAGGGCAATTAATACAAGTTATACGGTAGCCTTATTTCATAACTTATACAAAATAAAAAAATGTTTTGATAAATGGAAATTGAAAGAAAAATAATTTTTTAATAACTCAATTAAGTTTTTTTCTCTGATTTTGCTAAATAACAAATTTTATATAAATTTTATCTTATTAATTGAATACTAGGATTCTTTCGGTAGCTCTTTCATGCAAAATTTCTAAAAAAATAGCCGATTCTTTGATAATTTGTTTGTTATGTAAACAATATTTCCTCAATAAACTAAATCTAAACAATAGTTTAGCTCCGTGAAAAACAATCCTGCAGCATTTTTAACATTGAGATACCTCCGGATCCGGGGTAGCGTTAGTCTCGTACATATCTCGTCAAATCTCGTGTTTTTAGAAATCTTGTATATCTCGTTCTTTTATTTTTTGAGAATCTCGTGTCTCGATTTGTGGCACTTGCGCCAACTCTGCTCCGAACATTAGACTCACAACCTAGCAAGTTCCTAGCACATATCCAAAGTTGAACAAATAAATTTTTATTTTTTATTTGATTTTATTAATTAAGGCGTTTTTCTCTTTAAATTCATAAACTTCCTCATTTTTCAAAATTTATCAGAATTTTGTTTTTCCCACATTATTCAAAAATTATATGAGTATTTCATGTCCGAGGGTTGTCCGATGTTGACGTGCGAATGAATAACAGTTTATCCAATGTTGAAATTAACAATGAAGGCGAAGGCATGGAAGAGCTGGACAGACGGCGGAGATCAGTGACTAGCCCAGCTAGTATGATCCCCCTGAGACAGATACTTTCATTGGCTTTTTTTCTTCATCGAACACAAATAAATAAAATGTGAAACAATAAAATAAAACTCCTGGATCCACAGGGATCACATATGAAGAGGTTTATTACAATAGCGATACCACTACAATATTTGATTACCGATAATTTTATATTATTTAAATTAAATTATTTAAATTAAATCAATTTCTCGACGATTAAAGAGTATTGACGTCTGTTGATTAATCGTCGAGGCTATAAAAAAGGATAAACAGACAAGCATGCGCTTCTCACCTGAGTGTCTTTATCCCCCCTCCTCCTCCCGACTTTTATAAAATAATAAAAAATCGTATGAGAGCGAATAAAAATTTTTAAATAAAAACTTCATTAACGACTAGCTATAACCCCCCCCCCCTCCACTAAACAAATCAGTAAACGAGAAATAATGTCTAAAATATTTTTCTTGTTGCTTCTAATTTCAATTTATTTTTTATTTAAACAAACTAAAGCAAAGGATGATTATAAAAAAATTGTTAGAGAACTGAAAAATTATCTGACACAGGAAGAATTGAAAGAAGAATTAGCGGAAAAGCTTCGTATTGAATTAAATAATGTTAAAAAAATGAATGAATTAGTTTTGAAATATTTGGATAATCATAAAAATTTTAAAATTATGAAGGAATTTTTAGATAAAAAATTGAAAGATAAAAAATATTCAAAGGATAAAGCTAAACTGGCGGTAATTCGGAATATTATTTTAAATTCTGGCCGTGAAAAATGTTTTTAAATCGGGGGGAAGATAACTCCGGGATTCCTTTTTACATACATAGAAAAGTTTAAAATATGACTAGCTAAACCCCCCCACTATACATAGAAAGTTTAAAATATTTTTCTTGAGGAATTTGAGATTAAATATTATGGATTTTATAAGGGTGATTCAGGTAAAAATCCATTTACCTAAAAGCAGCATTTAAAACGCTTTCTCTATTTTTAATTTTCAATAGGGTTGGATCCCGACCTAAAACGGGATCAAAATTTTGGGATCGGGGCTGGCCGAAATCGGGATCGGGATATATCTTTCGGTGTCGATCAGAAAAATCGGGATTCAAGAAAACCGGGATACCGTATTTTCTCGATTAATTCCCCATGCCAAGGAATGGTTGAAACAATAATTCCCCAGGGGATTTAATCAAGAAAATACGGTAATTCCTCCCGATCCTGACCACAATCCCGATCCCGGTCAACCTTAATTTTCAAGCTATTAAAAGAATCATTGACAAAATTGGAGAAACAAAATTTTGTAAGAATTCTTGAGCTTCGAAGTCTTTGTTCAGGAACTACTCTTTTCTATTTAAAAAAATTAAAAAAATGTTGTGAAATATTTATCGACAAAATAGACAATTTTCTTGAGAAATTTGAGATAAAATTTAGTCCAGTTTTTGAAATGGATAATTCAAGCAACACTATTAAGGAAATTGAAAATAAAGCAAATATAGAAATGCTTGAAAAAATTTTGGAAAATCAATTGAGTTATAAAAATGTCGAAAATAATGAAAATGAGGATAAAGGAAAGGGAAAATTGTTTAGAGGAAAGGATAAAGAAAACAAAGGAAAGGGGATATTGTGCACGAATTTATTGTTTTGTGGTAGCTCAAGCTATGGTAAAGAAACGCCGTCTGATTAAAAATTGGAAAGTCAAAAGACTGTTGAAGCACTAAAACTGGAACTTATATGTAAGGATGGCGGTTCCTGAGAAATTTCCGGATATCCGGTATCGGAGCTTTTATTTTCAAAATTTTCGCATGCGGCGCTGAAAAGTTGAGTCCCATAGAAGGTTATAGCGAAATAATGGATTTGGGTATTAACAGAGTTATCGAGGGAATCTAGAATTAACAGAAATCTAGGTGGAATCAATGTGTGGAAACTTTTGAGTTTATCTGATAATTTATGAGAATTCAGTGGATTTAGGGAAAGTAGTAGATACTAGAGGCGATACTAGAGGAAAATATACTCTGTAGATACTAGAGGACTTTTGGTCTTCCTCGGCTTTTCTTTACCTCTTTTTATAAAAAAGAGTATAAAAATGGTATATAAGTATCCTACTGCCCTAGGCGAAAATTTTGAAAGATCCCTAAGCCAGGATTCTTCCTTTTCAAGCGCCGCAGGCGAAAGTTTTGAAAAGTTTAAAATGCCATTGGACAAGATTTTTTCCTTTTTCCATGTTCTAGGAAACGAACCGAAAATTTCGGATATCCGAGGTTTTTTCAGTTCTGGATACCCGGAACCGCCAACCTTATTTATATGGTTAAGGGTTTTTTGAATTTTGTAACTTTTTATACATATTTAAGTAGTTAGACCTTTTTTGGATTATCGGAAATTTATTTTTTATGTCGACTAGATCACTGGTAGATATTCATAAACTGTTTTTTCTTGTAATTTTACTTTTTCTTTGCAATGAAATTTTTCTTCTATTTTTTTCAAATATTGGATATGTTGGCATTTTGTTGATTATTATTCCATTTCGCATTTGTCGGCATTTGTAAAATTGACATTTTGTAGCCTTTATAGATAAAAGCGGTGACAGAGAAATAGCACACATACGAGAGAGAATTTTTACAGGCTATTTGTTTCGGTTAGACACGATTCCGTGCGCACGATTCCGTGCACACGTTTCCGTGCACACGATTCCGTGCATACGTTTCCGTGCAGGCACGTTTCCGTGCGGGCACGATTCCGTGCACACGTTTCCGTGCACACGATTCCGTGCATACGTTTCCGTGCAGGCACGTTTCCGTGCGGGCACGATTCCGTGCACACGTTTCCGTGTCCGTTATAAAAAACACGTTTCCGTGCCCAATTATTTAAATATTTTTATTTTTTTTAAATTTTTATAAAAAAATTTTAAAAGTTATATTTTTTATCAACTTATCAACTTTGCTTCAGTATTTTTCTTTTCAATTCAAAAAATTTACGCGGAAAAAAGTTTTTGCCGCTGCGGAGGAAGCCGGGCATGTCGAGCGGAACGACGGCCGCCGCTTCGCTACGGTCGCCGCGAGCGTAGCGAGCACGACCGCAGCGAAGCACGGCCATCGTGTAGCGAAGACCATGCCCGGCCTACCCTCCGTAGCAGCACAAAAACAGTTTTTCCAGCGAAGATTCTATTGGTCATAGGTTAGAAGCAGGGTTCTTCTAATTTTTTTAAAATTAAAAAAATTTTTTTGAGATTTTTTCCTCCATATCCATCAATATCCCCTTGTTGATGTCTCGATGTCATGAACAAGTCCCTTGATATTCACTGTACTCCTAAAAACCTTTTCTTATTGTTTATTATATTAAAAAGAAATTGAGCACGGAAACGTGTTTTTTATAACGGGCACGGAAACGTGTGCACGGAATCGTGTGCACGGAAACGTGTCTGCACGGAATCGTGTGCACGGAAACGTGTCTGCACGGAATCGTGTGCACGGAAACGTGTGCACGGAATCGTGTGCACTGAATCATACCCCACCGATTTGTTTGAGTGTGGGACAAATCACCGTATAATCAAAATACCGTTTGGACGCTAGAGTAAAAACACCGTCCACTTTTACAGATAATGAATTCGATTTTTATCGATATTATGTTATTTTAATATCTTTGGACTATACGGCTATTGGTCTTGATAACTTGAAAGTCTGAAAATTTTATTTTAAAAAATTTTCCTCCAGGCGAAATGAACGGGTATTTTATACTCTAGTGGGTAGACGGTATTTTGTCTGGATGGTGATTTGTCCTAACACGATTTTGCATTTTAATTTTTAACTTTTAATTTATTTGGGTATTTTAGTTTGCCCTTTACGTAGTTTTTTTTAAACTTTTTATTGTCTAGATAAATTTATTTTTGGAGTTTAAAAAAATTTCTCATTAAAATTATGGAAGAATCTTCTTTAATAACGTCTAATGACGATAAACAAAATCATTTGGTTGTAGAAAAATCCCCAAAGAAAAAGGAAAATGTTGTCCCAAGTTCTCACAATTCCTCAACCTCTTCAAGTGTTGCAGAAGAAACTCTTAGTCAAGTAAATCCGTCAATTTCGGATCCGACAACTGATTTGACGGAAGAGGATATTTTCCGAATGAAGAGTATGAGCATTGATAGAGATAAATGGAAAAATGGTTTTTTTTTGAATTTAGAGGAGGGGGGGTGTTTGTTTAAATTGCTTTTAGTTTACTAGACTTATTCTCCATTCCTTGAAATGTGATTTTGAGGATTGAGATAGAATTCTAGAGATCGGCATTTTTGAAAGGCCTGGGCCTGTTCTTAGACTCTGTGTTTGACTTATTATCTTGGGCAGGAGATTTATTGACCTCGGCCAGATTCAAGTGTCGCAGAAGACTTGAAGTCCAGGAAAAACCCCAGGAAGGTCATAAAATGCCTGGGCCTGGATTCTGGGTACATGAAAAGCCTAGGCCTTTGTTGTCATTTTTGAATGAATCATTGTCCAAATCCGGTATTTTGTAAATTTTCCCTTTCTCCATTTACTGGACTTAAAAATTTGAGCCCGGACCGAGACGAGATCTCGATCGAAAATTTCGGTTATTGAGAGCGAGAATTTTTCGAGATTTCGATTCTCGTACGACACTCCAAGTCCGGTCTCTATTCAAAATTATCCTTCATTCCATCACTAGGTCCAGCAGCAAGTGAATATCAATCAGCAATTTCCCTCGTTGATTCCGCCAGCAATTATATTGAAGAAGACCGCGAAGTTGACGAAGAAGAGGTTGATGTAACTGAAGGTTTGCTTCCTGATCAAATGGTGCCAGTACAGCGGTCAATGTCTTATGCTGATGCAGTTAAGAGAGCAACACATCATGAGCAGTCTGGGAAGGTTTCTAGTTTGATTTGGGATTTTTTAGGAAAGGTTTGGGGTTTCGGGGGTTAGCCTATACAAGGGACATGCCCAAAACGGCGCGCGGTGATAATAGCGTAAAGCCATAACTTGCTTCAAGATTTATTAAGCTTAACAAATTTAGTATTAAATGATTCCTCTCGTCGAACTAAAGAGATTTATACCGAAATTGAGTACGCCCAGACATTTTTCAGCAAGTTATGGCCACGCGCCTTTATGGCCACGCGCCGTTTTGTACCCACTATGTTTCCAATTTTTTGTTACCTCCATACTTTTCCGGCCTTTTAATTGATTTTATGTTTTAATTTTTTAAATTTTATTTATTAAGGTATTCCTCTTTGATGGTTATGCATTTTCTAAGAAAACGGATCCTGCAGTATTATCACATCTTAACCAAAAAACAGGTTTTTTGTTGATTATCCTTTTAAATATCTATTTCTTATGTTTTTTAGTCAGCACACTTCAATACCCATTTGAGCCTGTCAATATACCCCCAGGTGAACAAGAAGAATATCGACGTGCATTTTCTCAAGCAAAGGTTTCTGTTTTTTTATTCCTTTAAGTTTGGTAGAGACCGGGGTTTGCAGGCATTTTTTAAATTCAAAATCGACACCACGTCACAAACTAACAAAATTCACGAATTTCCCGAAAATTCCCGAAAATCGGGAATTCCCGACGTTTTTCGGATCGGGAATTCCCGATTTCGGGAAATTAATTTTTGTCGGGAATTCCCGTTTCCCGAAATCGGTAATTTTGATTTTTTGTCGGCAGGATCCCTGGTACACATAAAATTGTTTCTTTGTACGCGTTTCCTTTCTCTTGTTGATTCTTACAATTTTTCTTAGATTTTTTTTCATTTTCATCTGCTCTTTAACCCCCTCATAATTAATTTATAAATTTTTATGAATAATTTAAAACCATTTTTTATTAGGTTTATCTTGTGGGTACTGCACATTTTAGCAAAGAAAGTTGCGAAGATGTTTGTAAAACTGTGCAATTAACCCAACCAGATTTTGTCATGGTTTTTTTTGTTTTCTTTTTAAAATTTTTAAAAAGGTTGAACTTTGCTCTTCCCGTATTCAAATACTCTCTATGGATGAGGAGACATTGTTGAAAGAAGCTGCGGCTTTAACAAAAAAGAAAATGTTGGAAATTGTTCGACAGGTTTAAGCTTGAGATTTTTTATTTTTTAATTAATTTGTTTTTTCGGCCTGCTACTTTGAATTTTTAAAAATCCCTTTTTTGGAGTTTCTAATAAAGCCACTATCTTATGGATGTCACAAGTTATTCTAAATATGAAACTCGGGTAATCTTCTGCTTCATTGGTCCCTAGAAAAAATGTGGTAGAAATGCTTTTTCGATATTTTTGAGGTCTGCCAGTAGGTAATCGAGTGTGCTGAGTCCGAATCTGAGCTTAGAATTTGTTTATTTCGAACCCCGGACCCGAATTCGACCAAGTCGAATTCGGGGTAAGAATTCGAAACTATTAGGCTATCGCTATTCTGACGCGTCTCTGCAAGCTGAGTCGACTGATATCAAAATTATTGTGTTTTGACAACCTTAGACTGAGTTATGATCAATTAAATACATGCTTGGTTAGACTTCCGTATATAATTCATCCACCATAACTTAGTCTAAAGATGTCGAAACGTAATAATTTTGATACCAATCGACTCAGCTCGAAGAGACGAATACGATTAAACAAAAAATTTGAAATTTTGAATTTTTACCCCATATCCGACTTGGTCGAATTCGGGTTCAGGGTTCGAAATAAACAAATTCTAAGCTCATATTCGGACTCAGCACACTTGACTACCTACTGGTAGACCTCAAAAATGCCGAACTAGCACTTTTTCCTCATTTTTTTCTATGGACCAATGAAGCAGAAGATTACCGAAACTCGTACTTTTTTCTACCCGTTTCGTTGAAAATTTTGAAAACTCGATTCGAGATTCGACCCAACCTTTCTCATTTACCTTTTAAAATTATTCTCTGGTGATGTTTCTTTTTTTTTTGTCCAATTATTTTTGAACCTTATGGTTGTATGGCTACTCGTGTAGTCGTCCTTGAGATTTTATTTTTATGGATACTTCTCCCTATTTTAGCAAAGAACCAATCCTTAGTACACCAATCCCTAAAGAATTCCTCCTGATCTTCAAATTTAAAAAAAATTTTTTTGTTTAGCACGGAGCAGCTCAAGGTTTAATGCAAGTTTTGCTTCTCTCATTATCTGCCCATATTACCCAACAACTCGAAATGGCACCTGGCGGTGAATTCCGAGCAGCTTACAATGCTTCTAAACTTGTTAGTGGATGTCAACTTGTTTTGGGTGATCGTCCTTTGCATATTACGTTGAAGAGGGCTTTGAGTTCGCTGAATATCTTTCAGAAAATGAAATTCTTTTTTCATCTACTTGTATCGTTGCGAATGGATATAAAGTTTGTTTATATGGAAAAATTTATAAAGTTTTTTACCAGGGCCGCAACCACGATTTTTCGGGGACCAATGGTGGAAAAATTTTATGCGCCGAATGCGAAAATTTTGAGGGCTGTAGAAAAAAATTTTTTTTATCAATCCCGTACCCAGTTTTTTCCTTTTCTTCATTGAGGGGGGGGGGGGGGGGGGGGGATACGTAGAAAAATTTTTTAATTGTTTTTTTTTGCTTGGGATCCCCGGCTCATGTTTCACTTTTGAATGAAAATTTCGTTTTTCAAAAAATTCTCATTATTTGTCTTTTTTTGATTATACTTCAAATAAATTTTAAGGCAAGAAGACGTTGAGAGATGCAAAAATAACGATATTTTGGAAGAACTCCTTCAAGAAATGGCTGGGGAATATCCCCAAGTTTCCCGTATTTTAGTCGATGAACGAGACCAGTAAATTATTTTAAAGATCTTTCATACGTAATTTTCTCAATTTAAAGGTATATGACACAAGTTTTACATCATCTTTTACAACGTGGAACGGTCGAGAAACTTTGTGCTAGCAAAAAATGTCGAGGTTAATTTTTAAAAATTTTGAAAATAATTTTAATTTTGTAGCCACATTTGAACCATTAACAATTGTTGCGGTTGTTGGAATGGGGCATGTTAAAGGAATTCATGCAAATTGGCCAAAACCTATTGATTCAGCTGCTTTGCTGACGTAAATAATTTTTGTTTAAATTTGAGTAATAAGTAGAATAGAAAATTAAATAATTTTTCCAATAATAAGGACATTTAACATTAAGTTAAGGATAGTTAAATCTTTTAAAGACTAAAAAATGTCCGTAGAAAGCCTTCCACAAAAAATAAAATTTTCATTAATTTTAGGGTTGCCGGCCCGCCCGGTCCGAAAGATCGAGGCGGGCATCGAATTTTGTCTCGAACAAGACTCGGTCGGGCCGGTCCGAAAAAATGATTCGAACGTAGGCCCGTCTCAGAACGGCAACCCAAATTAGCTGATCGATTTCCGAGGCAGAATTTGATTTTTATTTATAAGACAATCATAGTCATAAAAATGCTGTACATTAATAGGATTGCAATTTAAACAGAAAATTAAGTCAATAAAAGTTAAAATAAATTTTAAGGGAACAGGCCAACTTACTACGAGCCCAACTTACCGCAAATCTATAACTTCGTTCTGACTTGTCGAATCCGGGACGTCCTGATATGGTTCGCTGCGCCTCGACAAGCTGAATCGAAGCATACTAGATTGTCCCGGATTCAAAATATTGAACGAAGTTATATCTTTGCGATAGGGGGTGTACCCAAATTTTAGATTGCTTAAATTTTTTCCAATTTTTATTTTAAACATTAATTCTCTTTCAATTTTTAAGTATTCCACCTCCTTCACTGAGCAGCCGAGTAGTAAACACAAGTGTACGATTTGCTTTTTATGGAAGTATTCTTGCCATTGCATTTTTTGCTGGCCGTAAAATCTTCAAAGTTATTGAGCCTCGTTTGCCGCAAATTAACTTCAAAATTTTTGTTTGATGGGGAATTTGATTAAACGAAATAAACGAAACTCTGGTGGTTGGATTATACATATATTGCCAATATTTTGGGATATTCCCCCTTCTCCCCTCTCTTCCCCCCCCCCTTCCTCCCTTTAATTTTATCCTTTCCTTCTTTTTCCTATTTTAATCAATTTGTTCAAATTTTGGATTTAAAGAGTAACTGGAAAAATAATTAAGATAATAAGTTTGATAAAAAAATTTTCTTTGCTTAAATTTAAATTTTCTTCCCTATAAATTGTCACAAAAATATTGCTATTATTTTGCAATTTAAAGTATTTGACCGGGACCTAAATAAAATTGACATTACTCAGAATTTGTGTTATTTTCTTGTATTATTAAAATTTGTATTTTTACAAGATAAATATTCTAAAAATTAGGAAATATTTTTTTTTCTTGTTTTCTGGGAGAATTAAAAGTAAAATAATAGGCACCTCAAGCAAAAATTAACTGGTCGTGAACAGCCCGAGTTAATTAAAAATTATTTTAAAAATTACGGAAAGATGAAAGGGACGATATTTATTTTAAACTCTGAGTTTATAGAAAATATTATGAGCTTTGAGGGTTCAAAAACAAAAATAAGCGGATCTTAACATTACAATTCCAACAAAAAATTGAAAAAACTTTTCTAACTTCTTTATTTTTTTAACTTATAAAACGTTAATTTTCTAAATTCGAAATGCTAGAAATTAATAGAATGAAAGACATTTTGTCAGTTTTTTATTCCTCCTGGTTATTATATTTCTCATCTACGGGTGGGGGTTCTAATCCGGCTTCTCTCTTCTTTTTGCCTCCGTAGTAGCTATATCTTAAAAAAATATTTTAATTTAGGAAACATTTTGTAGTCTTACGGATAGTATCCACCCATTCCGTACATACTGCCAAGGCCGCCGTACATTCCATATCCTCCAAGTCCTCCATAACCCCCATATCCCATACCTCCATATCCACCATATCCCATACCTCCATAACCCATTCCATATCCTCCATAACCCATACCATACATTGAACCTAAGCCACCTAAAAAATAATGTATTAATGGATTGTTTAACTTCTATTTTTGTTTATATTGGCTGTTTCGTGATCCGTTCCTGCGAAATCTTTTATTTCCGAGGGCTGTCCGAGTTTTATCAATGTCGACTTGCACAAGAATAAAGGTTTATCCATATAGAAAAGTACAATGTAAGCGAAGGAATGAGGCTGGAACAAACGAAGGAGATCAGTGACTACCCGGGCTAGTATGTGACACAAACTGACGCTAACAGTGGCTTTTATACTATAGTGACACCACTACATAACAGTCGGTTCATTACGGAACCCAAAAGGGTTTCCTTTGTAGAGGGGGATGGGAATTCATGTAAAATCGAACCACCTTTCTAATTTAAAGAAACTAACCATATAACCCTCCCATTCCACCATACATTCCTCCATACATACTATACGGACTGTACATGCTGTATAATGATGAATAATAAGGGTAATAATAAAATGCCTGGCTTTGTTGTAAGGCTAATGCAAGTAGAATAAAGGGGATGAATATTGAATAGGATTCAAGCCTCATTTTTAAGCTTAGCTAAATTTTCTTAAAGGTGGGATGAAATGTCATTTTATTTTTTAGAATCTTTTGGGTTGGAATTGATTGAAAATAAGAATTTTATCGGATAATGTCAAAGGAATTAATAAATATTTTTCCAACATGGCAAAAAATCCATAGAATTATTATTACATATTTATTGTTCAATATGTACAAACATTGTGTAATTCATTAATTAAAATTAATAAACGCGTACGAATTGGGAAACAAAAATGTTTAAAAAAACCCCTCAAAATCATTCTCTCTTATTAAATAATTTAATAGCTTAAATAATAAAAAAATTATTTTAAACGAAATGACGTTGTTCTTTTTAAATTTTTAATTAAATTTTAATAAATTCATAATTCTGAACAACATATGTACTTATGTTAGCTCTATATAGAAGGCTTTCGGTTCTTGAAAAATTTTTGGATATCTGGAACCAGAAACTTTTTACTAAATTTTAAGGAGATTAACAACCCTAAACCCCCTCATTTTCTGAAGAACTGAACAGTAACTCCTTAGTTCTAGAGTTTAGTTCCAAACCGACTGCTTATTAACATGCATAAACTTCATAAAGAAACAACTACCAAGCAGAGTTGCTTAAAGTAAAAAATTCCAATTAGGAAAAATCTTATTAGACCTTAGAAACTCAACGGAAAATTTTTCTTTTTTTATTAGAAAATTTTCTATTATTAAAAAACTATTTTATATCGAACAGTTTTATTGCCAAGATTAAAAAATGGAGTATTTAAAATTGTGGATTAAAAAATATTTTATTTAAATTTTATTTACTATTTTTATTTTTTTTGTTTGAAAAAAACAAAAATAAAAGAATTAAAAAATTTTAACAAAAAGGGATAAAATAATTAAAATAAAATACAGAAAGAGAAACATTGGGATTTGACAGATTTTTATTTTTTTAGAAAAGTTTTTGTGCGCGTAAATTGATAGAAATTCGAGGGATTATTATTTGGCCATAAAAAGGGAAATTTTTATTTTCGAGATAGGTAATTTTGTTGAAAAATAGAGGAAAGGGAAAATTATTATTTTTGAGAGAGAGATTGGTTTTTTTCTATTTTTAATTTTCTACATTAGGATTTCATAAGATACAACCTTAGCGATGAAAAATATTACCTCATAAATGAGATATCTTAAAAAGGGTAATCCGCCTTAGTGATGCACTTTGAAATGGATATGTAGTAGATATCTCTCCCCGAATCCTAAATTGATGAGCATATACCTATTATAGTAGTGGAGGTATCTTATAATGAGGTTCAATTGTATACTAAACGGGGAAAATTTTTTGGCGTGTTAATTTCGGAGAATCAAAAAATTTTAAGACGTCAAAAAATTTTTTTCCTTTTTTTGAAAAAAATTTTTTTACAAAAAAATGCTCAATTTCCACGAATTTTGGGGACGGGGAACAACCCTTATTTAATTATATTTTTGTTTAAAATAAAAGAATTTTAAAAAATAATTAAAAAATGATTCATTTCTTCCTAATCTCTGATGATTATAAATACACACAAAAATATATCTAAAGAACCACTTTAAAAACATAAATAACTTTCAAGTTTATTTATTAAAATAAAAACAAGCTAAAATATAAGTAAATAAATACTTCTCAGGTTCATTTTAAGTGATTTTTCTTTTTTTTTTAATTTTTCTTTTTGGGAACTACTTAATAAATAATTTTTTGTTTTTTGCAATTTCTTAAGCATTTCTATCCAAATTGCCAATTTATTTCCTCCTTTTCATTTTTGCTTCTTTAAATATCACATTATTTGCTAATTCAACCTATTAACTACTTAATATATATTATTTTGTTTTTGTTTTTATTTGAAGAAACAAAATAAGTAAATAAATAAGCAGAAAAACAAACAACAAGAATATTCTACTCGATAAAATAAATAATTCTTTTAATGCTAAATGGAATGTTTTTGGCACAGCTATGGATGTGAAGTGATTGATGTAGTTGATTTTATTTCTAATTATAATTGGAAGATACTAGAACACAGAAAAAGTGATTAGACAGACAACTGAGAATTAAATTAATTTTTTCGTTATTTTATCGGATAAAATTTTTAATTTTATTTTGGTTCTTGGATTGACAATAGTGAATATAGGTTCTAGATTTAGAACCTCAATACAAAGTAAAAATGCCGCTGAAATTTTGGCTCTATTATACCATATACGTCCAATCAAAGTTTATGCGTCCAAATAAATTTTTATACGTCCAGTAAAAATTTTTCGATATACACCAGAAACCTGTACCTATCTCTTTTTCGCACTACAAACCTTGTGTGTAGCTTGAAGGTTCACTACGGAGTTCTTATCTAGCAAAGTATTTTGTGGCGTCATTGAAGCTTTTTAGTCTCACAATTTTCATCATTTTTCGAAGAGACTCGTCAACACAGAAATATCTATCAAAAGGATTTTTTCCAATTTTTTTCAATTATCCTTTTTAAAACTAGCACGAGTGTACTTTTTGTGAAAGTCATCAATTTATTTTATTTACTAGAAAATTATGATCTCATCAACATTTCTCTCTTTTTTTGCATTTATTAGCTATTAGTTTTTCTAGTCAAACCACGTGGTGTTTGATGGACATTTTTGCTTTTAATTTTTGACATTTATCAAAAGCAGCATTTGTTTAAAACCTCATAAAACTTTAAAAATCAAGATTTATTGACTACTAAAAATTATAAAAAAATAAAAGGGAAAGAAGAAAAAAGTTTAAAAGTTTAAAAAACATAAAGGAATAGCTGTCTTTTAAAAATTCTGACAAAAATTTTCCTCGTCAAAAAAATTTTTTTTTCAAAGAAAATATTATTAAACGTTTATTATTTGTTTAAATAACAATTATTTAAAAGAAAATTCAAAAAAAATTGCGTAGGAATTTTAAAAAGAAATTTTCACGTGGCGGATTTAAACTTGCTTGTTTAAAGAAGAAAAAAAATATTTTAAAGTCAAAAACCATGTGAGAAAATTTACTTTTTTAATACGTCTTTCCCATTAAGAAGCTTAAATAAATTCCCGTTAAAAGCTCTTAAATTCCGAATATTTTGTTTTTTAGTCATTTTAGAATTTAAAATAAAATTCAAAAATATTGAGGAGTTGTTGATAATCGTTGATCAGTTTATTATTACTCCCCTATTTAGCTAGAGTTTACATTTTTTAGTTGAAAGAATTTATTACTCGTAACTTTTTTTAATTTTGAAATTTTTATTTTTATTTTTTCTTTTGAGTTTAGGTCTTTTGGGTTTAGTTCAATTTTAATACGTCTTTTGATAAGACATTACCTGCTTTAAGACAGTGACGTTTTATCGAAATTAAACTGCTTAAAACGTGAAATATTAGTTGAAGCTGTCCATAGGCCTATAGCCCCGCTACGGTTATGTTTACACCTATCGACCGGTTTTTAGGGCTTTCTTCCCCTATATACCAGTTAATTGTGGTATGTATAAGATCGGAAATATTTAAAAACGAGAATAGAATATATTTAAATATTTATTTTCTTTTAATTTTTAAAAATTAAATAAGATACCAAAAATGTTAAAATAATTAAAATAAAAAGTTAATGGCTAAAATTTAGGGAATTTTGATAACAAACGTACATATTTTCACTTTCTTAATTAAAAAATTGTATTTTTTGGTCTAAAAGTACAAACATTCATTTTTTAAATTAAAAAAATTATTTTTTTGGTATTAAAATTTAATTTTTAAGTGCATTCCTTCCTTTTTTAAATTTTTTAATTTAAAAATATTTAAAAAATTTCAAAAATTAATTTATGAGCAATAATGTGCAATGATGGATAAAACACCCTTCTTGTTATTTAAAAAAACAATACTTATCCTAATCTGATTTTATTTGACACAAATTGTTTCTTTAAATTCCCGTATAAAATCCTAATTTTTGTTGGCATCAATATTCATTTCAAGTCGAAATTCAATTTACTATTTAATTTCCAAAAAAAATATTTTCTTAGGGTTTCAAGGTTAGCTTTTATTCTGTAAATATATTAGAACATCTGTTATTTTGCTCATACAATTTAAGGTAGATATGGCTCTGTGATTAGAAATTTCGAAAATACAATTACCGTCGAAACTCGATATAAGTTCCTTTTCTTCTATTGCATACAAATACCAAAATTCCTGGGATTAAAACCAACTGACCGTAGTTCTATAACAAATAACCTTTTCCATTTAATTCTTAAATTAAATTAAATTTTTATTATTTTTTTTTGCAAAACCACGTGTTTGAAAAAATTAATTCCAAAAATATTAGTCATAACAATTTTCTAATCATTTCTAACTGAATTTTTATTTAAAAAACGGATGTAATTATGTGTTAACTGCATAGGCAATGGTTTTACTAATTTTCAACAAAAATTAAAAAGATTATTTCAAATTAAGTGACATAAGTTAATAATAAACATTATTATTATTAATTTATTATTTCTTTTTTTAATATATGTATATATAAAAAATATACCTATCTCTATTTTTCTGTAAAACATCTCTAGCAATTTACTACGTTCAGGAACATCCCGGCAAATAGTGACCCATGTAGTTTTTTAATAAACTGCAACTTCTCTATTTTTTAATAAAATTCATAGGGTTTCCAAGAAGGATTACTGAAACCAGATTCGAATAAATATCGAGAAGGTTAAGCGGATAACTAGAAAAACCGTAAGGTACATTGATTCTCCTCCAAAGCGACTACCCAACTAAAATTTATATATTCCATTAAAATTATTTTAAAAATTATTTCTCAATTTTCTTTATTCCGTACAAAACACAAAATATATAAATTCAAACAAAAAACACGTGTCACTTAAAATCACCACTCAATACCTTTATATTAAGCAAACATTGCCAAATTTCGGCAATTCCTTTTTTGTCTTCCCTCCAAGAAATTACCCCTCTCCAACACCTTTCTCTATAATTACACGTGTCAATCGGGAGATTTTTTTCTCAAAAAAATTTTTTACTTTCCACTTCCCCAAAAATTTTTTTATTAAAAAATTAATTTTACTTTTTTTTCCTTTTCTTCTATTAATTTATTGGATTTATTTTTTATTAAAAATTTTTAAAAATGCTTTTAAATTCTCTATAATTTCAATATTTAGAAAACTCAATATTCGATTTTAAAAATTAATTTTTAAAATTAAAAATTAATTTTAGAATTATTTTCATAATAAATTGAACTTTGTTACAGAACTTTAGTGATCTTTAAAAATTTATATTTATGAAAACTTTTTTCTTTTTCTGATTTTTTTCTTAAACAATGGAAATATCAAATTAAAATTCCGTCATTTATTTACAATTTTGTAAAACTTGTTCGTACTAAATAAATAATTTTTATAGCCCGTCAGAACATAAACTTTTATAAAACAATGGTTTACTAATATGTATTATTTCTTAATATAAAGTTTAATTTTATTTTTTAAAATTTTCAAGTTTATTTTTTGTTTACAAAATATTTATTCAGGAATGGTAAAATTTCCGGAAAAAATCTAATACATATTTATTTATTAAAATATTTACTGGATATTTTGTTTCCGGAAAGTTTTATTTAATTTCTCTTATTATTCTGAAAGCTATATTCCTGAAAGTTCATCTCCAAATTCTTTTAAATTATTTTATTTTTAGAAAACTTATTTCTTGAAACTTTTTCCGTTTTATTTCTATGAAATTTATTGTTGTTATTTCTGGACTCCTAATTTTTCTTTATTTTCATTAACTCTAATTTTATAATTTACTTATTTTATTTCCAATTTATTATTTTTTTTATTTTTGAAAATATTTTCTTAAAAATATTTTTTATTTATTTTTAATATTTTTTTTCATCCAAAATTACTGTAATTTTGACGTTCTTGTCGGTCATTAATTATTTCCCTTTTTTCCTATAAATAATTTTGACTAAAAGCCAAAATTACGCACTTACTCACCCCTCCCCTGTCTAGTCATTTTTTTATAATTAAAATTTTTTAATATATCTTTAAATAAGGATTATTAAAGGGATTTAAAAATAATTTAAGCCAAAATTAAGCCAAAAATTAAAAAAAGTCTAAACTCATTAAATATAAGAGGGATTATTAAATATACAATTATGTAGTATGCGCAAAAAGTACAAAATAGTGCGGAAATTGCGTAAAAAAGTAAATTTTTAGAAAATAATTGGATTTATGGCTTCGACAAGATTGCGAAAATTTTTTTTAGTTCTTATTAAAATTATTAGTTAAGTATTTAATCATGGATGGGCTATGTAAGGGTCTATAAATTGTTAGGTAAGGGTCTAAGGGTAGTAGTAAGGGCTAAAATTGCTTTTTAAATTTAATAGATGATATGTATTTGTGAGAACGGATTTATTAATATTTAAGAGTCCATCAACTGATATTAATGTACATCTTAAAGTCGAAAGATTTAAGCCTAAACAACAATAATACGAGAATAGGAAAACGCAAATCCCTCTTAAAAAATTATTTAATAAACCTTAAAGTACAAGTGTCATAGTTAAGAAAAATTAATATTTAACGCCCATTTTTAATGCCCCATAAAAGGCGAGAAAGAACTGGCCAAATAAGTTCATTCGCCCAATCTCAATTCCGACCAAGAGTTGGCCGGTTCTTTCTCCCTTATTTTATTAATATATTTGTTGAATAAAACTTTAAAAAGAAAGCTTTCCTTTCAAGTGGTGGATCGGCGCGCCCCAAGGGTGGGTTACCACTCTTGGGGCCCAACGCCGACTAACCCCTGATAAAAAAGGGGTTAGGATAATAATAACAAGACTTTTTCATTTTTATTTCTTCTCATTAAATAATAATTACTTAATTTATTTAAAAAGACAAGCTAATCTTTTAAGAAAGGAAATATTTCTTAAGACAATTTTCAAAAAAAAAATTAAAAATATTTTAATTGGGCATCTCGTGACAAGATTATGTCCACCCACGTTTTTGCCCTCATCAATTTTGTCTCCTCAAAAAATTTTGAGGAAAAAACCACGTGACAACAAAGACATTACCGAGAGCTCCTTACCTTTGTTTATTTATTTTCACTTTTTGAATTTCTAAAGAAAATTTTTTTTAATTATTAAAGAATTTTATCATTAGAGCAGGCCAACCTACAGTGATCAGAAGGAGGGGGGGGGGAGGCAAAATGTAAAATCATCGAATACCGGACTCGAAAATATCTTTCTTAGAGCGGAATCAAACGTACTAGGCCATTCTGATAATTTTAACAAATTTATAGATAAGCTAAACATCTTCCTTTATCCATTTTCTAGAGACATAATTTTATTAGAAAAAATAATAAATATATTTTTCTCTTAATTTTTGCAAAAATTGTAAAATTTTTTACAAAAACTATTAACAATTTCCAATCTTATTTATACTAGAAATCGGACTATGAGTGTCGTATAAGACCCGAGTTCGATATCTAAAAAAATATCGACCTCGATAACTGAGATTTTTTAAATCCAAATCTCGTCTTAGTCCGATCTCTGGTTTATCATCTATCAAATAAAAATAATTTTTCCCTAATTTTTGACAATTCTTTCATGTCATCAGTTAAGTACACATATAATCAATTAATCACAATCTTCTAAACAAACCGCTCCCAAATTAATTTAAATTAAATTGATGTTAATTAGAATAAAAATATGTATATTGCTCAATTCCGTCCAAATATTTAATTAAATAAACAATTGCACGTGAAAAGGAGATAATTTTAAATAAACACGTGGTTGTTGTTTTTAACAAATAAAAAAAAATTTTTTTTTTATTTTTTTTTAAAAAAAAATTTTTTTTTATAATAGAAATTCTAAGTATTTTTAAAATAATTTCCTTTACTATTATAATACTGCGGTGTTTTGTGGTGAGATATCTACGGAGATATCGAGTTATTTCAAAGATTTTGAATAGCTAAGTTTAAAAATTTATTTTTAGTAAATAGTTAACACAAAGCTTGTCCCGGATCCTTGTCTTTTCAGAATTCTTACGGGAAAGTAACATGACCTTAATCACTGGATAAATTGGTGACAAAATTCAGAATTCATTTTTTCATACTTTCAAAGCTTTATCTTTCCATAATTTTAACGATTTTTAATCTTTGGTAAAAAACAAACAAAAATACATATTTATTTACAAATCTCTCACATTCACGTGTACATTTATGTAAAATTAAAAAAATAATTTTGTCACAGAAAATTTAGAAAATATCATTGTTAACAACCCCTATCTATACTTTTCTTTCAAATTATAAAATGTTTGAATCCCTTCCCCGTTTCCGTTTTTAAATTGTACTGACTGAGAGAATTAAATTGTAAAAACAAAACGTGACGTTTGGATATTTTTTAATTTGAAAAAATTTTGTTTTAAATTTATGAAAAATTACTGTAATTTTTTCAATTAACTAAGACTTCTTTAAAAAATAAAAATGAATAAATAAAATATTTTCTAGATAATATAAATAGAGCCATATAGAAAAGAATTAAAATAGTTATGTACATAGCAGGGGTCGATCGGAAATGACGAAGGTGTCAGAAATCGAAAATGGCTCAAAAGTCGGAACTCGGAAAGCAGCCTCAATTTTAGGAAATCGGAATTCCGACTGACCCCTGGCATTTGGTATGCTGGTATTATTTAGGACAGAATTAAGAAAAAATTTTGACTACTTAAAAATTCATTAAGTATTATTCGAAAGATTTTTTCCGAATTTTAAAAATCTTTAAAACTTTTCAGGTCATTACCGACTTGTTACTCATACCTTTAAATTTTTTAATCCAATTTTTATTTAATTTAATAAAAACTGGATTAAAAAATTTTTATTTAAAATTTTATTCAATTTTTTAAATTTCTTTAATCCAATTTTCAAAATTGCTATTTATTAGCTTTTTATGATCAAAAATCAATTTTTAGAATGCAAAAAAATTTTAAAATAAAAAATAAAAAAATATATTTATTCTCCATTTATTTTCTGAGAAAATTCCCATCTCGAAAATTTAAACTAAAAAATTATAAAAAAATTCTCTTTTAGCACTAAAGAAATTTTAATCATTTTTCGAGATCTGTGACAAGTTTTATTACAAGTTTATTACAAAATGACAGTGAAAAGTTGTAAGAAACAATAGGCATAAATAAATTAAAAAATAGGAGAGATTTGTTTATTTTATTTAGAAAATATTTTATTTTTATTTATTTATTCATTTTATTTTTTATAATTTTAATTAATACTTTTTATTAATTATTAATTGTCTTATGAATAAACATTCTAAAGAATTCACCCTAACATTAACAAAACATCTCCTAAGTAAAAAATGTTTTTATCCAAACATCATTGTTCTTTATTATTCTTTAGACATCTTAAACCACTAATATCAAAAACAAAGTTTTGACATCTAAACATCATTTTTATTTATAAAAACATCTAAAAAACATTTCCGAACATCTAAAAACATTAATTTTCCGAACATCTAGATAATTCATCTTAAATAACATTTTTCCAAACATTGAACATCTTTAACACATCTTCAACAAAACACCAAATAAAATTTTTATAAAATTAATTAAACCTTTCCAAACATATCTAAACATGTTTTTAAAAAATAAAACTTTAAATTACTCTTCCAAACATCTCCCCAAGTAATACAACTTAAAAGCCTATTGACAATTAAAACATCTATTTTTAAAACACTCCAAACATTTAACAAACTTAAAGCTGTGTATTTTTAAATAAATTTAAATTTCAGGGCTTTCCCTTACTTATCTTGGCCATAAATTTTATTTTATTTTAATACTTCAGCTTATTTTTATTCTAATGCACAACAAATTTAAGAACGGGTTTGTTGAGATTTTTTTTACTTTTCAAAACCCTTTCTTCTAGTTTATCCCCTTCCTCCCCTCATTTTCCCATCTCAACCAAATTTCTTCGGCTTCGAACAACTTTAATTTTTCTTATATTTCTTACACAAATGACCAACATTTTACACTCCGCACCAATCGGAAATGAAGAAAAAGGTGCCATTAAATCGCCAAGAAGCGAGATTGTTGCTTACGTGAGTTTATCTTTTTTAAAAAAATATTTGAAAAATATTTTTGAAATTTTTAGGAGCATTGGCATTGTGGATCTGACGATTTTGACAAAAGTCTCTCACATCAAATGGCAAGAGAACAATGCCCAAAAAGAATGTGTAAGTTTTTTTTAAATATTGTTAAAATGCTTTAAACATTCCTTAAACTTCATTATTAAGAAAGTTTAACACTTAACTAGTTAAAAACATCTTTAATAAATTATATATATATATATATAAAAGTTTTTAAACTCAGACAAAAAAACTAAGAACTCAAGAACGGGTTTATATAAACATAATTTTAATATCAAAACATCTAACTAATTTTTAATAATTGAAACAAACATTCACAAACATTTTCCCAACATTCATCATTTAAAAATATTTGAAAACAAAAACTCCCAAACATTTTCATAAGATCTAAACATCATTTTTTCCAAACAAACATTCAGACAAACATTTTCGAAGCATAATTAAAAAGTTTTAAACATCATTCAAACTTTGTTTTCATTTAATCTAAACATTATCATATATTTATCCAAACAAACATCATAAAAACATTACTCAAACAGAATTAAAACATTACCTAAACATTATTCAAAACATATTTCCCAAACATCTAAACATCATAAAAACACTCCCAAACATTATGAATGTTTTTGGATGTTTTTAATGTTTATTCAATTCTCTTTTATTTCTTTAGTTGAAGCAGATCTATGTTGTGTTGTTCACGATGCTTGTTATATGGATGAAACACGCAATCGCCAAATATGCGACGAACAATTTTGTCATTGTTTGGAAAGAACAGTTGCTCGTTCACAAAATTCTAACGGAAACAACAAAACTGTTGAAATAAAAGAAAATGGATGTTTGGATGTTAGCAGCACTTTTTGCCATATTGTTAATATATTTGGGGGTGTTGCTTATGCTTCTTCTGTTGATTTAGTTAATAAACAAAAAGCGGCGATGGAAGTATGGGAAAAACAAGAAGCTGAAAAGAAGAAAAAAGCAAAAGAATTAATTGAGGCTGAGAAGAAAAATAAAAGTAGTAAAAATGTTGGGGAGGAGGCGAAAAATAAGGGGTAAATGATTTTTGAAAATTTGGAAAAAATTTTCTTTGAAAATATTAAAAAATTTAAAGGCTTAGATTTTTAAATTTCCATATTTTAAGATAATTTTTGGAATTTATAATGATTTTTTAAATTTAATTATGTTGATAACAGATCAAAGATTTTTGATTTTTTAAAATTTTTATATATAGAGAAATAACGAAAAGAATTTTTTAATGAAATAATTTTAAAATTTAAATTTAGTGAGACAAAGGAAATAAGCAAAAATGAAAAGAGTGCAGTTATTCATAAATTCCCATTGAAGGATTGTTCGGATAAACGTAAATATTTATTAATAATTTTTTAATCAAAAAAAAATTTTTTTGATTTTTACCTTAAAAATATTAGAAAATGTAAACATATTCTTTAAAAAATTTTTTAACTCCTTAAAAATTATTTTTTAAAGGACTCGTAGATTGTAGTGTTCAATTACAATCCTGTACCAACAATTTACAAAACAAAAAATTGGGAGAAGGGAATATCGAAGCTAACGGAAATTCTTTTGCTTTATTATTAAGTGCCAAATTGGCAGAATGCACAAACCAATTTTGTAAATGTTCTTCTACAAAATTATTAACAAAAATTGAACAAAATGACAAAGAATGTGTTAATAATTTGGCTAACATTTGTGCTCAATTTTCTGATGATTTTGGGGGGATTTTGGAACAAAATTTTGAAAAAACAAAATGTTGGTAATTAAAAATAAATTGTAAAAAAAGGTTTAGATTAAAAGACATTTTATAAAAAATATTAGGGAGTTACATCAATGTGATTTTAAGATTAAGTCGCATCCTAGCTTTACTTAATTTTGCTTATATTATTCAATTTCCTATAAATTAAAAAAATTTCCTAAATGATTAGTATAGAGAATGGTCTAGATCTACTTCCATACATAGTTTTTTCTGAATCTGGAGTCATCTTAAAGTTGGAATTTTCGAGGTACATTGAAGCTTACTGTGACTATTAGGGATAATTTTAAATTAAATTCACAGTTCAATTTCTTTAGATTTCCTATCTCATTTTGTGTTATTTCGAAAATATATAATCTGGAAACTTATTTTTTAATTAAAAAATTTAAAATTTTTTTAAAATTATAGCTACTTATCTGAGTCTCTGGTCAGTTAATCTAAATCACCAAAATAATCAAAATAGTGTTGGATTGACTGTTATGTGTACATTACTTGCGCTGGTAAAAATAAATTTAATTTTTTAAAATTTAGAATTATGAAATCTAAGCATGAATATTATTCTTCAACAAAATTAATTCAAAATATTATTTTTAATTTTAAGTCTATCTAAAATAATTTTATCTAAGCTTAATTATTTTCCAAGTAAATTTAAATTAAATAAGGGTCTGAATTCTGTTCATATCTAAAAAATTTTTCTAATTATTTTTTAAATAATTTATTTCTTCTTTTAAAGCTCGTCATCACAATTTTCCTTTACATTTTAACAAAAATAATTAATTTAATTAAAAAACGTTTTGGAGAAAAATCAAATAATAAACACAAAGATTATTTAAAAGCTAAAATTCGTCGAAATACTTTAACTAATGCTTTGAGACATGTTGGAGGTGTTGGGGGTGATGATAATGATGATGAGGATTTTGAAAGTCGGGGAGGGAAAGGTGGACCTCATTATGTGGGTTTTTAATTTGAATTTTAAAAATTAATTATTAAATAGTTAGAATTAAAAACCTCAATCAGGGTGGGCCTATCCAAATCAGCAGAAGGGGGCATGGCTTCCCAAAAAGGATGGCAAAAAGGAGGCGAAAAGGTCTAAAAGTGGGTAAATGCCTCCCAAATGAGGCAAAAGAGCCTCCATGACCTCAATATTTAATTAATTCAGAAAGAGTTAGTGATTAAGTAGAATTTTCGAGAATTTTAGATAAATAAAAAAAATTTTTTTTAAATATAAAAACTTTTTCGAAAAAGTTTTTCAATAATTTTGAATAAATATTAATAAAATTAAAACAATAATAAATAATTTAAGATCTCTTTGAGTAACCAAAAGAAGCCTTCCACCGTCTCCAGTCCAACCGACAGTGTCGCTACCAGCCAACAATTATTAATTTCTTGCCACAAAAAAACAAATTCTGAAGCTTTACAAGACACCAAAAAACCTTCAAAAACCCTCAATAAACCAACAAATTTATTACTAACAAGTTGTAATTCTACAAACACCAATTTAATAAATAATTCATCTAGCCAAACACAATTAATTGGGGAAGGAACGAATAATAACAGCAACGCAAATTCGAGTAGCACTTTGTCGGATATTTCTATTAGTGCTTAAAAATGAAGAAGAAAAAAAATGTTGGAAAAAGAAAAAATCTAGAAGAGCTGATTAAAAAATTAAAGAAAAAAAATTGAAAGAGCTTAGAAACCCAGAAAATAAATTTTTTTAAATTTTTTCTAGAAATTTTACGGGAATTTTATTTTATTTTTTTTTGCGATTTTTAATCTTTAAATAAATATTATATTGAAATTTTTGTTAGATTGGGGATGTTATTGAAAGGATTTAAATGCTTATTAACACTTTATATTGAAAAGAGCTTATTAACTCAGGCATATTTATTAGTTAATAGTAGTAGTTACAGAACCAAATCCGGACGAATTTGGAGTCGAGTTTCTTTTTTATTAATTAATTCAATTTAAAAAATTTTTAACGTATAATATTATGATGTAAAAGAATGAAAACATGTGACAAGATGGAGATGCCGGAAGCATTTAATTTAAAATTGAATTTACAATATACTTGTTAGAATAAAATTTACTGCCCGAGTTACGCATAATTATTTTTTCGTTGATACCTAATTTGTTTTTATATGGGAAATATTTTTTTAAAACGTAAACTGCCCGAATCACTCACTGCCTAATTCACTCGTTGCCTGAATCACTCATCTGCCGTGATTCCTGACAATGCCGTGATTCCTTCCACCTGATTCCTGACACTTCTTCCGAAATCACCTGACAAGGCACGAAAGTACGAGTACAATTAAATTTAAAAATTCCAAACACTTCATATATTATGAATTGTCCCGTTTATCGACAGTATCGTCTACCGAAATTTTTCCATATTTTATTTATATGTACTACTATGTAAAATAATAAAATTAATACATAATTGCACTTGATTGCCACGGCAAATTTTGAGAATTTATCGATATTATGCTTTCCTTATTTCTTAATATTTATTTATTCAAAATCAAAAAATAAGAAGAAAATATGTATTCTTTTAGATGTTCACATCGAAGAAAATATTTGAAAAATTATTTTTATTCGTAAAAAATCTAAAATTTATACAAAAAACTAAAAAAATATTTGAGGATAGACTTTTGATTTATTAATTATCTGAAAATGATTTTCTTCGAGACCGAAAATTTTCGGTTATGACCGATCATGCTCAATGATCTTTCTTAACTTTAGCGGAAAAATAAACTATAAGTGATTTATATTTTGAAAAAAATTATGAAATTTTTTAGGCATTTGGAGAAATCCGAATACGTTTAGTAACTGAATGTCCACAAACACTACCGGAGCACATAACATAGCTGACAAATACATGCAGCTTTCAAGCGCTATGTGTTTGTTTTGGGATTAGAAGGTTTGTTTAGGGAATCAAAGTCTCCCAAGTAGGGTTGTCGGTTTGAAACCGAACCGAAAAACCGAAGATTTTCGGATTGGTTTGTCGGTTCCGGTTAACCGATGAATCTGGTGAAACCGAAAACCTCCCAAGCATAACTATAAATGGTAATGTGCGAATATTGCCATTAGTTTACTTAATATAAAATAATTTAGATGATTAAATTATTAATTATCTTTCTTGTATATTTGATTATTCATATGAACATTCAATGCGACGGAAAATTAGTTAGCGTTGAGATGAAAATCAAAAATGATTGGGAAGGAAAAAGAGAATTTATTTATTTAAAAAATGTTCAACTAAATGAGCGTTTTGTATTGAAAATAATTGAAAAAAAATCTTATTTTATAGAAGGATTTCATAATATGGAAGGATATTTGAGTTTAATTGACTTAAATATTGATAGAAATATTTTTAAAGTTAAAGTTAGTGATAAATCATACAATCCATCGTTTACTCTAAAAATGAGAGTTGTGATTGAGATAGTCAATAATGAAATTGTTCAAAATTTATTGCCTGGATTTGAGAAACGGGTATTTTATATTTTTTGATTATTTAAATTACAAGGTGACTTTATTAAAACTCAATAAAATAATAGAGTATTAAATGGAGAACAATAATAATTGTGATTTTTCGTTTGCTCGCGTCTGCTCCTCTGTCTTACAACCAAAGGGGTATATTTCGAAAAATCCCAATTATTATTATTCTCCACTTAATTCTCTATTATTTGATTGTATTTTGATATTATTTGATTGAGTTTTAATAAAGTTATAATAAAAAATGTGGAGGCAGAGACTTTTGAATTACCCTGTACACAACAAAAAACTTTTTAACTGAACTCATTTTAAATAACTTGTATACCGTATTTACTCGATTAATTCCCCACCCATATTAATTCCCCATGCTAGGGATAAGTTGAAAAAATAATTCCCCACCCTTGAATACCCTAATACACGTTCAAATTTCAAAACTCGAATAATTCCCCACCCCCTATTAATTCCCCATGCCAAGGATGGGTTGAAAAAATAATTCCTCAGGGGAATTAATCGAGTAAATACGGTATTTATTGTTTAAATGTAACTAAATACAAACCGAATTTGAATTATAATTTTAAGCTACTCCGTAATAATAATTTTATTAAAAAACATAATTATTATGAAACTTGTATATTAGATGAGAGTTTAGTAAATATAAAAATAAATAAAAAAGAATTATTAAAAGAAAATATAGAAAATTACAAAGACAAACTTTTATCAAGTTATTGGACGGAAATTAATTTAATTGGATATAAAATTGAATTGTTAGAAAAACAAAAAGTTGAATATCCAAACAAAATAATAAGCTGTATTGTTTACGTTGGCAATAAAATATGTAGATAAATAAAAATTTTTATTTTTGGTTTTATTTTTTAATAAATTTATTTTTAAATATTATAGTAACCGAAATTGATGAAAAAAAGAATTTACATTGTTTCAATTGTGGAGTTATACTAGATAAAAGATGGCATAAATATCTAAAAGCATATTATTTGTGCGGTAATTGTGGCGATTATATACGAAAAGTTGGAAAGCATAGAACTAAAAAATTATGGTTTATTAAGGAAAAGGTATATAATTAAGGAAGTTTTTTTGAAGTTTATTAAGGAATTTTATTTAAAAATAATTAACATAAAAATGTTAAAACATAATGGATTTTATTTGTTATTTAATTAGGGTTTCCGAAAATTAAATGTGTTTGTTATACCTAAAATAAGCACTATAAGCATTGCCTAAATCTAATATTTTATATAATAATTTTTTTCTTAATTTAGAAAAAAGTTTAAAAAATATGATAATTTTTTTTAAAATTATTTTGCGTATTCGGCATTTTTTAGATTTTGAGACTAGAATAATAAATGAAAAAGTTCAAAACATCATTATATCGAAAATTTTATTTAGATCGAATTTTTAAAGGCACACTCTAATAAACTGGTAGAATCATATCAGGGCACATTAATTTCTAACATTCAACATTAAATTTTTATTAATATAATTTATATGTAATGTATGATAATTCTTTTTAATTCCTAACATTGTTGTTTTAGCAATAAATCAGTTCTAAAAACTTTCTCTTAAGCACGATCGACATTGCCAAATTTGCGGAAGTAAACAAACAACGAGATGGATGCGAGATTCAGAACCTGGTAACTACTTATGTAATATTTGTTACCATAAACAATATAGAATAAAGATGAAAACAAAGAAAAATTTAAAATAATTGTAATCGAATATCCAGAATCGATCCGGAAATTGTTAAGGCAAAAATTTCTTATGTATGTACTACTTTGTTCATGACATCCACCTTTCCATGTTTTTGTAATAAATTAATTTTTCTTCTATTTACGATAATTTATTTTCATAAAGAAATATAAGTAGCTTCCAAAATTTTAAAAATTTTAAAAAACCTCCACAATTGCCTAAATCCCTGGAAAAACTCCTTGACACCGGAGCTTCATTGGAAATAGAGGGGGGGGGGATAATTTAATTAAGAATCAATATAGAATGCGATACGTCCCTTCTCTCTTCTCTCCAACATTGTCAGCCAGCTTTACATTGAAAAATCAAAAGGCGAGGGATAATGGAATTCAGAAGCATGGGTAATGAAAAAATGACATGCCGTCTCTCCACAATTGCCAAAATCCCTGGAAAAACTCCTTGACAGCGGAGCTTTATTGGCAATAGAGAGGGGGGGGGGTAATTTAAAAAAAGATCCCCCCAAATAATTCTATTATTTATTATCACAAGGGCAGTCATGCTTATGGAATTTGGTAAACAATGGAATTTAGAAGAGGGAGATAGTGGAGGTGAAGAGAGTGAGGGAGAGGGATAATTTAATTAAGAATCAATATAGAATGCGATACGTCCCTTCTCTCTTCTCTCCAACATTGTCAGCCAGCTTTACATTGAAAAATCAAAAGGCGAGGGATAATGGAATTCAGAAGCATGGGTAATGAAAAAATGACATGCCGTCTCTCCACAATTGCCAAAATCCCTGGAAAAACTCCTTGACAGCGGAGCTTTATTGGCAATAGAGAGGGGGGGGGGGTAATTTAAAAAAAGATCCCCCCAAATAATTCTATTATTTATTATCACAAGGGCAGTCATGCTTATGGAATTTGGTAAACAATGGAATTTAGAAGAGGGAGATAGTGGAGGTGAAGAGAGTGAGGGAGAGGGATAATTTAATTAAGAATCAATATAGAATGCGATACGTCCCTTCTCTCTTCTCTCCAACATTGTCAGACAGCTTTACATAGAAAAATCAAAAGGCGAGGGATAATGGAATTCAGAAGCGTGGGTAATGAAAAAATGACATGCCGTCTCTCCACAATTGCCAAAATCCCTGGAAAAACTCCTTGACAGCGGAGCTTTATTGGCAATAGAGAGGGGGGGGGGGGTAATTTAAAAAAAGATCCCCCCAAATAATTCTATTATTTATTATCACAAGGGCAGTCATGCTTATGGAATTTGGTAAACAATGGAATTTAGAAGAGGGAGATAGTGGAGGTGAAGAGAGTGAGGGAGAGGGATAATTTAATTAAGAATCAATATAGAATGCGATACGTCCCTTCTCTCTTCTCTCCAACATTGTCAGCCAGCTTTACATTGAAA